TACAGAAGCAAAAATGCATTAAACAGCAAATATAAGCCCCAGAATAAATTGCTGGATAAAAATGCATCGGGGCATTGATCAGGCAAAACTTACAATTCTGTCACCGTTATTTACTCACCTTTTCATGCCGTCCCAAACCCATGTTTTTCTTTCTTCTGTGGAACACAAAAAGGATAATGTTTTGAAAACGTTCTGAAAAAAAGTGTAAACATATTTAAGAAGGTTTATATAGGCCTTACAGATGGATGGATGGATGGATATTATGAAATGTTATGATTTTTTTTTTCAGTACTACTACCCTGCTGCTAATTACATACTGATTAAAACATTTAAATGTTCAAACGGAGAAATGAACACACTGAGAAACAAACACACCTCAGGCAGGGAAAATCTTGCATATGAGGCTCTGTTTCACACTCTTCACACTAACGGTACAATTCAAATATATGAGTTTCACACCAGCTTAGATGTCACATTAAGCACAGGAGAATCAAGATGTTTTACAATAATTATGTTCTCTGTTTTTTATTTATAGTAGGTCACACTTTGTCTTTCTACTGTTATACAACCTCCAATCTCCTGAAATTTACTTACACTTTTACTTTAGTCAAATTCCCTTTGACAAAGTGCACAGTGCACCTAGAAGATCTTATACATAATGAAGAGGGGTCACACTTGAAAAGCAAAGTACTTTAGTTTGCTTTTAACTCAATGTTGTCTGAAAGATGTAGATTTGTAGAGTAAAAATCAAAGATGTAGGTTTATTTGCATTAGAACAAGGAAGGGGAACGTAGCTTTGAAGGCTGTGAGCGTTGTACAGTTTCTAGGACTTACAAAGGACTTTCTTTTATGATAGACGTTTGTGACGTCTTATTAGAAGAGACAAAGTCTCTTGCATATAAAACTTCATAAGCTGTGGAAAATATAGTCAAAATGGCCTGTTTTTCTTTCTTCTGTGGAACACAAAAAGGATAATGTTTTGAAAAAATATTCAAGCTGCTTATTTCTATACGACAAAGACAAAGTGAAAAAAGGCTATTTAGGCCCAAAATTGCATCATAAAGGCAAAAGCAAAAATTGTAAAATTTGCGGTAGGAACAGAAAATATTCCACATGTACTGAAAACAGAAATATTATAAAATATTATTACAAAAAAAATATTTTCTATCTGAATATAATTTAAAATTTTAAGGTAATTTATTCCTGTGATTTCAAAGCTCAATATTTAGCATTATTACTCCAGTCTGCGCACTCTGCGGTGTTGCATGATCCTTCAGAAATCAATATAATATGCTGATTTACTACTCAAGAAATATTTCTTATTACTAACAATATTGAAAACAGTTGTGCTGCGTAATGCTTTTCTGTCTGAAAGATGTAGATTTGTAGAGTAAAAATCAAAGATGTAGGTTTATTTGCATTAGAACAAGGAAGGGGAACGTAGCTTTGAAGGCTGTGAGCGTTGTACAGTTTCTAGGACTTACAAAGGACTTTCTTTTATGATAGACGTTTGTGACGTCTTATTAGAAGAGACAAAGTCTCTTGCATATAAAACTTCATAAGCTGTGGAAAATATAGTCAAAATGGCCAACATTATGAGATACAAATAAATGCATGATTGTTGGTTTCCCTCACCTTTTACAAACAGCAGTGAATGGAAGTAAAGACCAAAATTCTCCAACATGAAGTTTGTAGAAGACATTTTTTCGTGGTGGATCATTAAAGATGATGTTGGACTCACTGTATAGAGACATTCGTAAATAAACATGTTAATAGGTTAAATATTCCAATGCAAATAAAACAACATATCAGATACACAAATTAAAAACACGTAATTATTACACAATGCTAAATAAAAATGATAAAATTCACTCAATTATATATTTAGGCTTAATTAGGATACAAATACACTTATCAGCTTTTAAAAGTGAGGACAAAACGCCTCCTAAATCGTTTGTTGTTGACTTCAAAATACCATGTATTCAATCAAACAATGTTTTGGTCCCAATTTCACTCGGCAAATTGGACATGGACAGGTTGCATGACATGCTTAAAAACCATGAACAAAACTTAAAAAGATAAAGAAGACACTATAGACTGCAATATCTAGGGTAGCATGAAATCCTTAGCTGTGGTAATCAGCGTTCCTGATACTGTGTACAAACTGTGATGAAGAAGCAGAAGCAGCGGCGGCTCGTATGCAGTGAAAAGCAGCAGCGTCTCTACTGCTCTCTTCAGGTCAGCTGTGGTACTACAACTGATTTGCAGCACAGTCTCTGGCGCCATACAGTGGTAAGAAAAAAAATGGAACAAGCGTAGGCTATAATATAATACACTTTTTACCAGAGGACAGATAAAACACAACGTTCTATTTTTATTTACTCTTTTCTCCAGCGGGTTTCTCCACTTCCAATTCGATTCCTGCTAAACGGTTGCTTTAACACTAGAGAAAAATCCATCTCTCATCTCAAAAGCAATTCTAGCATTCTCCAAAGACAAAAATAAAAGCAGGGAGATGATTGAAATGTAAAGAGGAGAGTCTCCGTTGAGGTTATTCTGTGTTTTGAGGGCCACTGATGAAACAAATTACAAAAAAAAAAAAAAAAAAGCTGAAGAGTGTTAAATAAAACCTTTGTTATCAGCTTAAAACAAACAGATCTGACTGTGCATATTAAGTGGGATAATGTACAAGCATGGTCATTATCGCAAAATACACCCCAACAGGGTCACCAGGTCTTGTATCATCCTGAATATGTTTATTTTGCAAAACTGACAGGGTTACTGTACATCATGAAATACACAGCTATATATCAAAATAAATAACTATGATATGATATTTAAGTTTTTTTGAGTGTATTTTTATCATGTGGCAAGAAAGTGACTATTGAGCATAGCAGTAAATTAGTTGCCTAGTATGCAAATTTTAGATGTCATCATTATTAAATATTTGTCCCATAAATAATTTGTGTAAATATATATATATATAGTTTATATTGCTAATTCATTTTTAAAAGTTATTTTTCATATTGTACTGTTGTTATTGGTTTAAGTCATTGGCAATGCTTCATGGTATTAGTACCTTTGATATGAAGCATAATATTATATGCTAAATAGAAAAAAGACAGTTGCTTGTTTCTCTCTCTCTCTCTCTCTGTGGAGAAAATAAATAGGAGATGTTCTTCTGGAAACAAGGCCGCTGTAAATATCGGCTGTAACTATACTCCATAAAGGCTTGGTATGTTATAGGTGATTTTTATATTGTAAACATCATTCAGCAATTTGCATTTTAATAGCTGTTTTTGGACTTTTGCATGTAATCATATTTCACCAAAACCAAGCAATCTCTTTTATCATAAAAATTACAGGTAATATAGCTTGTCCTCTGAACACTGACAGTAATCAAAACCGTCATTTCCAGAGCAGATTAGCTTCATTTTGAGAAATGATGTCAGGTTCTGTCCCATTTTCCACATGAATATAATAAACCATGGACACACATGCAGCAATGCACAGTGTGCTCACATACACATTCACACCACCATCTAGACCTCCTTGGCTGTCTCTAAATGCACTACAAACGGTGGAAGAGTCATTTCCTCTCACCTCAGTGCTGTCTCTAACACATGAAAGGATTTTCAGGGAGTCAGGTATCATTATAGTCGTGAAAAGCCTGTATCCAACATTGGTCATATCTTTACTTCCTCTAAAGATCAAAGTCGCTGCACTGCTGATGGGTTTGTGGAGCTCATTACATGCTTCACTACATGGATCCACATCTATAAGTCAATCACCTGACTGCATTCTAGTCACCCGACTCTGCTCTGTCAAGTCCAGGGGCTGCCAGCCTCTCCACGGTCATGGAGCTGAACGCTGAATCGTATTGCTTCAAGGTAATCCAATCAAAATGAGATGGTACACATTGAGTGGAATTTGTTGTCGTTATTTGTGATAATAAAAGGGGACCAAGCATCTCCGGCGAGGAGATAAAAATGCATTTTAGTGCCTTCTTTAACAAGAAGAAAATGGAAGTATTGATCTGTTCTGCCCCTGTGATTTCTTCTGCTGAGTGTTCAAACAGTGATATTTATGCAGGTGGTCCCAAAGACCCACTAGCTGTGCAAGGTTGGAGAGAGAGAGAGAGAGGAAAGCAAAAGATGCAACATAAATTGTCAACTGCTGAAAGAGACGGGTAAAGTCTGCCTGACCCTAAAAGGTCAATAATACCAAAAGTAATGAATTAGCTCACAGTCATGACTCAAAAACTAAGCAGAATTTGTAAATCTGTGTACCTGTCTTTCTACTGAGTTCCTCAAATAAAACTTAAATATCTTTTGCAACTAACCTTGGCAAATTCAGTTATTAGGTCAGTGAACAGATTGTAGACAGTCTTTGGGCAGGCTGTCTGAATCTGAGACTAGTGACCATATGACCTTGCCACAGTAATAACATGCCTATTTGGATAACAGCTCTACTATCCTAGATGGTCAATCAGCTGAAATACATGACAGGTAAAAGCTATGATGCAAAACATGTTAGTAGTCACTTTGCAGGACTTCCTGTCAACTTTTTTGATTGATGATGTCCTTTTTGACCACCCACATTGCATTCACCTTTGACCTATATTAATAATCTCCGGAGTCAATATGCCTTATGGTTTTATCATATTTAGAATTCCAACATTGACCTGTGAACTTTTAATTAACTCCGGCTGTCAAAATGACATATGGTTTTAGCAGTGGCGGGCCGTGCATTTTACACCTAGGCCTTCAGTGGCGTCCTACATGAATTAATCCATCTCTTCATACCATCATAACGATGCCACGGCTATATAGAAACCATAAATATTACACAGTAATGCAGTATAACCAGAGGCGGACAGTAACTAAGTACATTTACTTGAGTATTGTACTTAAGTACACTTTTTGAGTACTTGTACTTTACTTGAGTATTATTTTTTCTGGGAACTTATGACTTTAACTTCACTACATTTGAAAGACAAATCGTCTTCACGAGTCTCCCCGCCGGTCTGCCAGCGCACTGCGGGAGGAAAATACTGGTTAGCACAGCTTTACTAGGAAAGTGAGCATGTAACATTAAAATAATTCATACAAGACGATGAAGAAAAGTGTATAGATGTGTTTTAACGTACCTCTGTGACTCTCATCTCCCCGCTGGTCTGCCTCTGCCAGCGGTGCTGCGGCCGGAGGAAAAGACCGGTTAATACAGCTCCACTCGGGAAACTGAGATATTCTTGCGGAAACTTAAACCTGGCTTTATATCGCGCAAATAACATCAGTATACAACGCATCAAGCGATAAAAGAGTCAAAAACGAAAATTAACCTACCATACTCTAGTGGTTTTTCATCTTCACGAGTCTTTCACAGAGCCAGTGCCGACAAGGTGTGTGGTTGTTTTTCGCAGTCATTTAGACTACTGTTTTTACATTTACTAAATATAGTAGGCAAATATTTTTTCAAAATGCACTAAAAATCTAAACCTGAGAAACAGTAAAAAAAGTTTTACTAAGTTTTAATAAAATGATTTACAGTGATGCTGTTTGCTAGCTAGTACGCTGACCATCCAATCAAAGGAGGAGAAAATGCTGACGTTATCGTTAGCCAGCTAGATGGCCCTGGTGTTGCCAACTCGAAATCCGATTGGTTAAAGCAACGGTTTCATTGCCATTAATTTAAGCTAACAGACGCCAGCACTGTTGATTCTGAAGACCTTAAGGCAGATTTCTTTGACCCTGGCAACACGATTGCTGAAATATGATTGGATAAAATCTCTAATATAAACATACACTGCTGGGAGCAGTGCAACCAACAGAAAAGCTATGAACTGAAGAGAATAGACTATTGGAAATAATTTAATACACATTCATGGAAAAATATATTAAAACTAAATCAGTGATTCTGATAGTGTTTAGGCCAGCAGAGAAGGCTTTGCTGGCCCTGACGGCCCACCACTGGGTTTTAGTATATGTGGAATTAAAATGGTGTATTCCTTAAATTATTTTGATATTGTTTGTACATCATTAGATTTGGCTGATACCTTCTTGCCTCACATGGAAGTAGAGTGACCATGAGATGGAATGAGGCTGGATAGCCGCATGTGGCCAACAGATGCAGCCGGATGTAAAATTACAAAAATGAGCCTGGGGGCTTCAGATTTGGCCCGTTAAGGTTCAAAATCAATCGGTCTTCATATTGCACCCCCAGAGGTCACGGGTCAATGACAGCATTCCACATATACTGAAATCATATGTCACACTGACAGCCAGAGATGATTAAAAGGTCACGGGTCAACGTTGGAATTCCAAATATGCTAAAACCCTATGGCATATTGACCCCAGAGATTATTAATAGGTCAAAGGTGAAAGCAACATGGGTGGTCCAAGGTCAAGGGGTCAAACCCCTCAGGGTGAAAGGACAGATGTCAATCGAAAAAGTTGACAGGAAGTACAGTATAGTGACTACTCACGTTTACTTAGAATCACAGCTGATGAGGCTAGATACACGCTACCATTTGCAGTTCTTATTTTTGCAATATGTACACAGTACATTGTAACAATTTAGCAATACACATTCCTCATGCAAAGAAATCACACTAAACCAAAGCTGAATTTGTGTGAAAGAATCCCTCTGGGAATTAGGACCCTCTGAAATAGTAAAGACAGGGCAAAGAACAGTTACGCTAGTTTCCACACCACACATTTTAAATGCTGGATGGAGTCGGAATAGATTGGACACCACACATGAAACATGGGAGAATGAAAAACTTGTTCCACACTCCCAGGTTTAAATATTCACTTTAGCGAGGCAGTAAGTGTATAACTTGAAGATTTTGCCCTTTCAAACAAGGTTACACCAAAACCACCCTTTAACGTGTGATTTTTTCATGTTACTGTACCAGCTGTGGCAACACGTTAATACGTGTGCTGCAGGTATAACGAAAAACTTGTTCCACATTCCCAGGTTTAAATATTCACTTTAGCGAGGCAGTAAGTGTATAACTTGAAGATTTTGCCCTTTCAAACAAGGTTACACCAAAACCACCCTTTAACGTGTGATTTTTTTCATGTTACTGTACCAGCTGTGGCAACACGTTAATACGTGTGCTGCAGGTATAACTAACGGACCACAAATTATCCAGTATGTTAAGCTACCATTGGGATACATAAAATAGGTGACCTTTTTAAATGGCATAAGTAGTAAATCAGAGAACAAAAAGCACTCAGATGAGGCATGTAGCCCGATTTAAGGCTGCACTGCAGCAGCAAGTTTGGCATTTAAACTGAAGTGTTCAAAACACCACAAATAAACATTTATATTAAACAATTTATTGCTTCAAAGTTAGATTAAAAGCACAGCTTTACACCATTTAGCGCTGACATTCCACAGCACAAACGTACATGGCAGTCCCTTAGCCCTTGACAGATGAGAAGTATCGTCCTGTAGCAGAGGAGCTTTGGGATGGTTTGGAATAGCCTGAAGGTTTCTGGCCATAGGTGGAACTGGACTGACCAGAGAATATACCTTGTAAAGCTCCTTGGACACTTGAGCCAAGAGATGAAGTCATGGAGTCTGAGGGGTGTTGAACTGAAGCAGACAGACCAGGAGATATTTGGCTATGGATTTGGGAGCCAGAAGCAGCCGGAGCTGAGAGCTTAGAGGGTTGTTGTCCTACACCAAAGAAGCTTGAGATCCTCAGAGGACTAGAGATAGAACTCTGGCTACCCCGGGCCACAGAATCCACAGAAGGGCTCAGGGCTGGCAGGAAGGAAGATCCACTAGAAGTCTGAGAGCTTTGAGGGGAAGATCTGCTCTGATGTACAGATGTACCAGAGGCCTGAAACCCTTGGCTCAAAGTGGAGGCTGAAGGCTGCCATTTTTTAGATGCCTCTGAGCCAGTCAAGGAGGATCCACCTGAAGCCAGAGTGTATTGACTGGGCACAGAAGGGGCATACTGGTTAGAGGTACCTTGAAACTGGAAAGATGATCCCCCAGTAAATGTGCTTCCTGTCTGAACAGGAATGGGACTAAAACCTGCCAGCCGAGTTCCAGCCATACTCTGGGAGCTTGATGCATACAGGCCAGAAGAGTCTGGATCACTTGTAGATTGGCTCGAAACGTCGAGAGAGGAATCATGTTTGGCATATGCAGAGGGCCTAGGGCTATACGGACTTGAGGTACCTTGAGACAGGCTGGAAAAGCCACTATATATGCCACTTCCTTGTTTGGAGGCAAAATGCCCAGGACCTGCTGCAGAGGTAAGTGTAGAGAAGCTACTGGGAGCCTTGGAGCTATTCTGTGATGCCACTGTACCAGAGGTCTGAAAACCTTGTGACCACCTTGAGGAAGTCTGCCATTGAGATGGTTGGCTCCGAGACAATGAGGGTCTACTTGGAGCAGCCTGACTGTACACAAGAACTTTTGCATTCAAGGGTGAAGGGGCATACTGGCTAGAGGTACCTAGCAGCTGCAGAGATGAGCCATCAGTAGAGGTGCTTACTGACTGCACAGGCACATAAGGACTAGAGCCTGACAGCTGAGTGCCAGCCCTGCTCTGTGAGCTTGATGTATACTTGCTGTAGGTGCTCGGACCACTGGCAGAATGCCTAGAAACATCAAGCAGGGAGGAACCACGCTTGATATATGCAGGGGACCCATGGCTATACGGAGTTGAGGCACTTTGAGACCAGCTGGACAAGCCACTATCTACACCACTTCCTTCCTGTTCGGAGGCAAATTGGGTGGGACTTGCTGCTGAGGTAAGGGTAGAGAACTTACTGGGAGCCTTGGAACCTTGAGAGGGAGAACTACTTTGTGATGTCACCGTTCCAGAGGTTTGAAAACCTTGGGACCACTTAGAGGAAGGCTGCCATTGAGATGGTTGGCTCCGAGACAGTGAGGGTCCACTTGGAGCCTTACTGTACACAGGAACTTTAACATCCAAAGGAGAAGGTGCATACTGGCTAGAGGTACCTTGCATCTGGAGAGATGAGCCACCACTAAACGCGTTTCCTGTCTGCATGGGTGCATGGTGACTAGAGCCTGCCAGCTGAGTGCCAGCCCTGCTCTGGGAGCTTGATGTATACTGGCTGTAAGAGCTTGGTCCACTGGTAAACTGACTAACACCTAGGGGTGAGGCACCACGCTTGGCATATGCAGAGGACCCAGGACTATACCGACTTGGGGTACTTTGAGACTGCATGGACAAGCCACTATAACTGCCACTTCCTTCCTTTTTGGAGGCAAATTGGCCAGGACTTACTGCTGAGGTAAGGGTATAGAACTTGCTGGGAGCCTTGGAGCCTTGAGATGGAGAGCTACTCTGTGATGCCACTGTACCAGATGCCTGAAAGCTTTGCAACCACCTAGAGGAAGACTGCCATTGAGCTGGAGGGCTCAGAGACAGAGAGGAACTACTTGGAGCAGCTTGACTGTACAAAGGCACTTTTGCATCCAAAGAAGCCAGGGCATTCTGGCTGGAGGCATGTTGAGACTGTACAGAAGAGCCATCAGTAGAGCTGATAGAACCTCCTGCAGAAGACAGTGAAGAGAACCTACTTGGAGACCAAGAACTGCTCTGTGATGTACCAGATCCCTGTGACACTGCCTGAAATCCTTGGGTCCTTGAGGCTGAAGGCTCCGGAGATAGTCGGCTTTGAGATAGAGAACCACTCTGAGTTGCTTGATAGTACTGACTGGACAGAGGCAGTTTTGCACCCAAGGAAAAAGTTTGAGCATGCTGGCTAGTCGTATCTTGAAGCTCGACAGATGAACCATAACGACTACCCTGTCCAGGTACAGGATGATGGGAAGCTGCCAGCTGAGTGCCAACTCTGCTCTCTGAGCTTGGTGTATACTGGCTGTAAGAGCTCTGATCAGTGGTAGACTGGCTAAAATCTAGGGGTGAGGCAGCGAGCTTGGCATATGAGGACCCAGGGGTATCCGGACTTTCAGTACTTGGAGACTGGGTGAACAAACCACTTGCAGAAACAAGCCGGCTGGAACCTCCTGCCAGTTGTGACCCAGAGCTGCCTTGATAAGTAGAAGTAAAGAAATGGCGGGAACTGCTTGAGGACCCTGTGGAAGAGCTACTCTGTGCAGAAAGCAGACTAGAGGTTCCTCCCAACTGAAGGCCAGAGCTGCTCTGAGCGCTTGTAGACATGTTTGAGGAGCTTTGATCACCGGTGGGTGGGTCAGAAACATCAAGAGGTGAGAGACCAAGCTTTGACAGGATGGAGAAGCCACTGGAACTACCACCTCGTACTGGTGTGGAAGAGAGTTCAGCAGAAACTCTTTGCAGTCCAGAGCCATACTGAGAAGACTGGCTATAGGAACCTTGCCCACTAGTAGACTGGTTAAATACATTCTGGGCATTTGGACTGGAGGAACCCTGGAGTTGTAGCAGTGATGAAATGCTGTCCAAGACACTTGGTGCACTTTGGGTATGAGACATAGATCCATAGCTGCTGGAAAAACCTCCTTTTACATACGGACGTGAAAGGGAAAATAGAGGCCTGCTGGCATTTGGGCTCTTCCCAGCAAACATATTAGAGGCCACTTCTTCAACAGGAATGCTTCCAGTCACTGGAGCCTCCAACACAGAAGACTGGACTTCCCTAGGGGAGAAGAGCTTGTGGACAGACCAATTCTGAGGCTGAACATTCTGAGAAAGCCAACCTAGAGAACATAAGCACAATGAATAAGAAGAGTATTGACATCTTTAAAATATATAGAAACTACAACTGTTTGTTACCATAACTTAATATAAATCTCATTTGATCAACGTGACGCTCACCTTCATATCCAACAGCATGTTTCAAGAAAATCAAGAAAACCAATAAGTGGACCCTAGGGAGAAAGAAAAAGATAACAAATTTGTATAACACATGTAACTGAGAACACTGCAAAATAAAACGTAAAAATGTAACTAACCACTTCCACCCCTGACCCATAGCAGAAAAAACACTAACAAAACAGCTTTGTCGAGAAGTGATTCTGCTATTCCAAACAAAATAAAACTACTACAACCAGAACAGCTAAGCAGGCATTTGTCTTTTATAAGCCTGTTTGTCCAATCAGCTCACATGTCTAATTACATAAAATACTGTTCACCTGTGAACACTTAGCTGGATATTTGATGACTGAATTTGCCAAGTAATTAAATACAATCACCCGTCTCATCCATTCGCAGCCATTACACACCCCATAAGGACTGCGCCACAAAGCATATTTATGTGGCTACCTGAAAAAGAAAAAAAAAAACATATATATATATCAGCACACTACAGACATATATTTAGACCACCCTGGCAGACACATTATAAATGCACATTTGTACACAAAAGTCTTTATTTCATGTGTTTCAACATTGGACTCTTTAAAATATTACCCATTATACTAAGACATTGCAAATCCTTTAAACCAACAGTGCAAATTGCTTGAAGGATTTTAACTGAGCTTATACGCTATCATAGTAGACCTACATGCATTGTCTATTCTTAAGGTTTAAGAAAATATCTGCATATGCATAACTCACAGTACACAAAAGAAAGAAAAAAAAAGAAAAACATTGTTTTTTTCTTAACAGTGCCATTGTAGATATACACTATGCACAGGAGGGTCCAATTAATTAGTTCCACAATATTAAGTGTCTGACTTCATTTTAAACACTTGAAAACTTTAACTGACTTACTATGTGTAACACTGCTATTTTTGACACCTGGAAACCTACTACTGTTTTTAATACTGATGCTAAGCTAAAGTGAACCTTCACAATCTTTTAGGCAGTGTAATGAAACTCTGTGTACCTGTAGGAGTTGAATTACTGAAATAAATGAACTTTTCCACAACATTCTAATTTATTGAGATGCACCTGTACATGACTATGAACAAGGGGTTGTCATATGTTTCAGTTAACGCATCAGTAAATATTTGAATGTGCTATTGTGGGGAGATGTGTTGAAATGTTTAAAAGCTTTCCATAACACAACAATCAGGTTATCATGGGACCGCTGGAATTATGCAATTGTGTGTGAGGAACATAATGGCCACTCTATGCTCTCGGCTCAAAGCCAGATGTGGTGTGTCTCGACTGCTTATTAATATTTATGGATCTTTAATCACAATAAGAGAGTTCTTCCTGTCCCCAAGAGTTGGGCAGAGTTACTCTGTCTGAAAAGCTCAAGGACCACATTAATTAAAGCGAGTGGACGTGATCGTGAATGATACATCCATCATTCCCATACTTATTAAAGAGGTCACATATCCAGGATAAAAACTCAAATAAAGTCAGCAAAAATTGGCCTAATCTAACAACCTGCAATTAAAAGCAGTTGGATGAGCTCTTTAATGAGGGCAGAGATTCACACAGGATGGTTTTACAGGCCAAATCATTGGCTCAGACTGACAGACAAAACAGGATTAAACAGGATTTACATTAAGGCCAAGTTTACATGATATAAACATCTGATCTGAAATTGGGGGGGGTCGATAGAGGCTATTTACACAGTGCAAATAGAAATAGATGCTATTTACACTAAGTGAAAATAGCAGATTTTCTTATTAGCGATAGAGGCTACTTACACTTAGTGCAAATAGCTATAGATTCTATTTATACTATGTTAAAATACCAGGTTATTCTGCTAATTACTTATTGCAAATTTATAAAAAAAAAAAAACATTATAAAACAGTATGCAATAATAACATATTGAGTGTAAATTTTAATTATGATTATTAAATGGATGCCACCTTACTGGGACAAAAGCCCTCCCTACACCTACCGTAACCCTACCCAATACTTTATTTTCAACTTTTTGATTATTTCCTTCATTTTTATTAAAAATAAATGCGAGTCACGTGGGATCGCCGAAGAAGATGGCAGCATAGTTGTATAGCTCCGTAGGCCCACCAATATTTTCAATTTATCCGAGCATATTCACTCCACATTTTTATTACAACTAGCGTCCCTGGTGAGCATAAATATTTGTGAAATAAAAAGGTGCCCTAGATAGCAGATGTCGACCTCCACATCTAATTATTTTAAGGGGATTTCGACAAGCCGCATGACAACGAGACAGACCTCGCCGCCACATGAGTCGCCGTCACCCCAGCGGAAAGATCAATATTCAAAGATGGAAAACTTATTATCCGAAATAAGTAAAATGAACTCTACCTTACAAGGGGTGGCGACAGATGTGTCCTCAATCAAAGAGGTTGTCACCAATCTCAAAAACTCGGTGAACGCAATCCAAGAAAGGCTGGACGAAGCGGAGGGCCGCATCTCCAACATGGAAGATGTCACCTCGAAGCTCGTTGGTGATGGCGAACGGCACGATAAACGTCTGGAAGTTATGTGGAATCGAATTGAGGATTTAGAAAACAGGAGCCGCCGCAACAACGTGAGGATGATCGGTCTGAAAGAGGGGCTGGAGGCAGGTGGAATGATCAAGTGCGTGTATAAAATCCTATCGGAGGGACTGGGAATTGATCCGGATGGAGAGTTTGAGATTGAGAGGGCGCATCGCGCTTTCACTCTTAGGCCCGATGCTGATCGACCACCAAGAATAGTTCTGATTAAGTTTCAGCGTTCGTCAGCCAGGGAGAAAGGCAATAACCTCTATGAAGCCTGGCAAATCATTGGGGGCAGACGGGCTTCCGTCAGAATACTACAAAAAGTATGTCGACATATTGGCTCCAATTTTAACAGAAGTCTATACAGAGGCGTTTGAAGCTGAAGTGTTACCTAGTACTTTTATGGAAGCATTGATAACACTGATACCTAAAAAAGATAGGGATTTAACGGATCCTGCTAATTTTAGACCAGTAAGCCGTATTAATGTGGACTGTAAGGTGTTGGCAAAAATATTGGCTTCACGGCTGGAGAAGGTTCTATCAGGTATAATTCACAAGGACCAAGTGGGCTTCATCAAGGGAAGGTCATCAGCCATTAATGTGAGAATGCTAATTCACCTGTTTTCAGCTTTTTGATTTGATTATTTCCTTCATTTTTATTAGAAATAAATGCTTTTCTGATGCGATTTGAAATTTGAAAAGGGAGAAAAAAAGTTCGCCAAAAGGCAGATTCAAACCTGGGTTGATCGCATCAAAAGTAGTAGGTTATGACACACGCTTTACCATCTACGCCACTGATTCTGATGATTAATGACCATCTTTTGTAATGTTGACTAGCCCAATCACATGTTGGTGGGTGCAGTTAGTGTAAATAGCCTCTGCCAACAAGGCAGGCTATTTGCACTTAGTGTAAATAGACACTCCGATTTTTATTTATTTTTTTATTCCCAACAGTTAAACAGTTGCCCACAGAAAACAAAACCCTCAGCACCCCCACTTCCCGCGCCTATGGTCAAAGCAGACATATTTAAGACATCAATACCGGCGTACATTTTAAATCTTGGCTGACCACTTGTAATCAGATTACCAGAGACGGATGTAAATACCAGGCATGAACAAGATCTAAAATATGTCAGTGCAACAAAAACAGATTAGAACACATTTAGCTTTATTGGATTTACATCATCGGATCAACATTGAATTTGAAAATTAGTAATTTCCTAATAAAATGCTAACTTAGATGGAATAAGTCTAATTCGAGTCCTCCATTCCTGAGGTTAACTGTGCAGGTTACATGCATATCAGCGATGTGATCCACATGTTCTTCAGTGCTGGAGTGGTTTAGTTTTCTCCTTTCAACACAGATGCCAGCTCACCATTCTCCTTCAGCTCCTGTTTAACAATATAAACATTTCCCATCCATTATGAAACACCTTTACAGTTCATCAACTTTTACTAACTTCTTCATGCTATGTGTTTGTGCTATATTTTGTTTTATATTTCTTTAAAATAAATAATTGGTTGGATAACTAATGCCATAACCCTAACTCTTAAGATAACTCTTAAATATTTTGTACATTTAGGTTCAGAGATGGTCCTGACAGCATTGGTTCTCTTCATATTGCCTGTTAGTTGCAGAGCTTCATCTACCCTCTGCTGAAGAAAAAAACGCCTACTGCAGGACACAGTATATCTCTACAGGCAGATGAAATAACTCTTACACTACCATTCAAAAGTCTGGGCTCGGATTTTTTTATTGGAAATTAATTAATACTAGCCCAATCACATGTTGGTGGGTGCAGTTAGTGTAAATAGCCTCTGCCAACAAGGCGGGCTATTTGCACTTAGTGTAAATAGACACTCCGATTTTTATTTATTTTTTTATTCCCAACAGTTAAACAGTTGCCCACAGAAAACAAAACCCTCAGCACCCCCACTTCCCGCGCCTATGGTCAAAGCAGACATATTTAAGACACATCAATACCGGCGTACATTTTAAATCTTGGCTGACCACTTGTAATCAGATTACCAGAGACGGATGTAAATACCAGGCATGAACAAGATCTAAAATATGTCAGTGCAACAAAAACAGATTAGAACACATTTAGCTTTATTGGATTTACATCATCGGATCAACATTGAATTTGAAAATTAGTAATTTCCTAATAAAATGCTAACTTAGATGGAATAAGTCTAATTCGAGTCCTCCATTCCTGAGGTTAACTGTGCAGGTTACATGCATATCAGCGATGTGATCCACATGTTCTTCAGTGCTGGAGTGGTTTAGTTTTCTCCTTTCAACACAGATGCCAGCTCACCATTCTCCTTCAGCTCCTGTTTAACAACATAAACATTTCCCATCCATTATGACACACCTTTACAGTTCATCAACTTTTACTAACTTCTTCATGCTATGTGTTTGTGCTATATTTTGTTTTATATTTCTTTAAAATAAATAACAATTGGTTGGATAACTAATGCCATAACCCTAACTCTTAAGATAACTCTTAAATATTTTGTATATTTAGGTTCAGAGATGGTCCTGACAGCATTGGCTCTCTTCATATTGCCTGTTAGTTGCAGAGCTTCATCTACCCTCTGCTGGAGAAAAAAAACGCCTACTGCAGGACACAGTATATCTCTACAGGCAGATGAAATAACTCTTACACTACCAT